TTTGGTGAAGAGAAAGCTTTTTGAGCAAGTTATTGACTTATACTTGCCATCGTTATCCTGTTATCAATCCCTGCCACGTCGAATTGATATGGCAAACCAATGGGTAAGGCGGTAGCTTCCACGCTTTTTCCGTACAAGGCTATAAAGTGCAATTTTTCTTAATAAAGGATGTGAACATACATATTTTTCCAATAAAATGATAAACTGGACAGCAAAACTGAGGCTGCTGTATGGTAACATCGGTGGGGCCCTGCAATGGGCTGACATATTTGGACTTTTTATGATGTCGTGGAAGTTTTCTCACTGCTGAGCATCGAGTATGGGTTTGGATGATATTGGTGATACTTTAATTTGGGTTAAATTTAATTTTTCATCTACTAACTATTTTTTTCTTTTTGTTCTAATCTAAAAAATTTAATTTCTTTCAAAATTATCTATAAACTTTGAAAATCATTTCAAATTCATCTATCTAACAAACTTCCATTAGTGTTTTTAACAGAATGCTATGAGATGCTAATGTGGCATCAATTATGTGGGGTATGCAGTTTTGAAAAATTACACTTCAACTTCAAAAACTTCATAAAATTTTTAATTAAGTTTTATATTCAAACCATTCCACAGTACAATTAACTAAGTCCTTAAATGGACTACATTAAAATTAATCAAAACTAATGATAAATAATTAAGATTGTTAGCTTAATTTGTTAATTAATTAAGCTTATAATATTATTTTTATCAATTTAAAATTAAAAAAAAATCTTTTACATGTAAAAATTTTAAAAATGTATTTTTTTCTATCTTAAAATAATAAACATTTTTGAATTTATCTTTAAATTAAGGATTTAAAAACAATTTCTATGATTATATATTTTATTCTTAAAAAAGAAATAAAAATAAAGAACCTTTTTAAGAATAATGATAAATATGATCAAATTTTGAGATAAAAATTTGAGCTTAAAATTTAACTAATGTCACATTATTTAAAATATTAAAAAGTGGATCTTATATTATTTAATGATTAATTCTTTTTTTAGGACATGTGATATTACTGATAATAATAAAATTAAAGTAAAAAATTATATTTGTTTATCATAAAAAATAAAAAAAATTAATTCAAGACAAATTTGAAATTATAAAGCGATAATTATTTTGGGACAAATGGAGTAATGTACTCCCTACATCCTTAATTTAAATTTTTAGAAATAATTATTGCTCAATAATTTCAAATTTGTCTTGAATTAATTATTATTTTTATTTTTTAAGATAAACAAAATTTTTTTTTACTTTACAAATATATTTTTGTACGTTAACCTTATTATCATCTACAATATCACATGTTGTAAAAAAAATAATCATTAAATAATATAATATCCACTTTTTAATATTTTAAATAACATAATATTAGTTAAAGTTTAATCCCAAATTTTGATCTTATTTATCATTATTCTTAAAAAAGTTCTTTAT